TATATATATATATATATATATATATATATATATATATATATATATATATATATATATATATATATATATATATATATATATATATATATATATATATATATATATATATATATATATATATATATATATATATATATATATATTATATATATATATATATATATATATATATATATATATAATTACTTTTAAACGTTATTTTTAGTGGATACCCATATTTGGAGACGTTCAATTCGTATCGTATATACCGGCCTGAACATTCAAGAAATCTTTTTAAAGAAAAATTGAGCACTCCGGCAGGATTCGAAACTGTGTCCTCCTTTGAGTGGGGAGGGGAGATATGAACAGGTTTAGATAGATAGATAGATAGATAGATAGATAGATAGATAGATAGATAGATAGATAGATAGATACGGAGGAAGAGAGAGATGCAGAAGAAGGAATAGTGTGATTAAATTCTAAGTAGTAAATATAATGAAAAGGTGCAAAGAAAGAAAGAAAAAAGAAAGAAAAAAAGAAAGAAAAAAAGAAAGAAAGAAATGGAATTTAACAGCAAGAGAGAACGGCAAAGAAAAAAGACAAATAAGAGAAGGAATATTTCACTGAGAGTTATAATGGATCTCAACTAGTCGCAAAAATTTGCAATGAAAATAAGAAGAAACTTGTTAAATATAAGATCGTGTCTCAAAGTGACATTTTTGCTAATTGCCAATTTGTAGAATAAACAATGTACCATTTGCATTAACTCATTATTTTAATAGTTGAAGGGTAATCGACCACGAATGCTGTGATTAAAGATAACAATGAAATGAAATGAAATCTCTTAAAAATTAACAGTAAACAAATGATTAATAGATTGATTGGTCTGAGACGCGTTAGAATAGCAAAAGATGTCCTTCCAAAAAATTATCAAATTATTAAGAAACAGGAAAAATTAATTACAAAGAAACTAGTGATGAACTGTTTTGTATCTGTCTATATTTCTGAGATGAAGTATTGTAATTATTTACATTATCCACATTGTCTGAACTGTTGTCCTTATCTTTATCGTCATATTCACGACGTTTCGGCCGTTGTACGCTCCGGCCTTCTTCAGGATCTCTCTATAATACCGAGATGAGGTATTGTAATTATTTAGACTATTTACATTGTTCGGACTGTTGTCCTTATCTTTTATTGTCATATTCACGACGTGCCGGCCTTCGTTAGGATCTGTCAATATTTCTGAGATGCGGTATTGTAATTATTTAACTATTTACATTGTTCGGACTATTGTCCTCATCTTTATTGTCATATTCACGACGTTTCGGTCGTTGTACGCTTTGGCCTTCTTCAGGTGATTGGAATTTTGAACCGAACTTTTTATTCTATCCAGCGATTGTTCTAGTTCCACGTGCCATGCCTTTTCTGGATATATTTCAGTTATTTCTCTTTAGTAACTTAACTCTCCAAGTTTTTGTTCACCACTACCGTGGGCAGGTATTGAACTCATAACTCTTTAGATCAAGTCATTCTATTTCTTCATCCAAGGGTTCGGTTCGATATTCCAACGTATATCACCTGAAGAAGGCCGAAGCGTACAACGGCCGAAACGTCATGAATATGACAGCAAAGATAAGGACAACAGTCCGAACAATGTAAATAGTTTAAATAATGTACTGTTTTGTAAGCAACTGTTCTTTGGTTTTCAACAATTTTGAGAATTTTATACCTTGCAATGAGTGAATGGTAGTAAATGGAATATTCAGGTTGTCTGAGATTTTTCTGTAATTTTTACCTTCTTTTCAGAGATTAACAATCAGTTGTTTTTGCGAAATTGTCAATTCATTACCTCTTGCCATTATGATAACCTTCTTGCCCGAATATCAATTACAGAATGTTCTGTTTGTATTTTAGGCAAAAATGATTACTGATAACATTATTGGAACATTCTAGAATATTCCACTTGAATAATCTAGAGTATTTAACAAATTTAAAAGTTTTAAAATCTGAAATTTACATTGTACGAATACTTTTTTCACCCATTAAAATCGATAAATGGGATTTATTTCTATTATTTTTTACTGTTTTTTTTATGCATATTTAGTTATTATACATCTGTGTACAGTTAATTATAGGGAAAGTATATTTATTCATTAGTTAGAAATACAATAAATTAAAAAATCGTATCTGTACGAATATTTTCCCCCACTGTAGATTTACCGATATTAACGCTTCCAATATACAAATTCTTCTGCTATCGAAAAGCATCGCTCTCTGATAATATTTCGTAAGGGAAATGGCATAAGATGAATAAGCAATTATTATTGATTTACATATTGTTACTTTTATGCATTTCCTGACCCCAAATAAATTATTAGTGACAACGTTGCAAGCCTCTCGCAGATCTGTCGTTTCTTCCATGTCATGTTCTGACAAACTACATTCCATAGTCTCACCAGCCCTGACCATTGCAGCTGGGAGCCACTATGCCATGTACACAACGTGGAATCATCCCTACTACCTTCGTATTCCGAAGAAGTAATTTCTGTTCGGACAGCTTCTTCCCTAGAACTGCTGCTATGGGGAACAGACGTCCAACGGGATGTTTTCCCAATTACTAAAATCTTGACCTCTTCAAGTCTAGGGTTAACCATTATTTTTCCTGCATAGCCTCATGAACTCCATTTCTTGCCCTTTCTTATGCTCATACAATACCACATAGTAACCATCTACCTTGGGTGGCTCTTAGGTCATCTATTGAGTGAACATTAGTATTAAAACCTGGCATTGCTACATTAATTGCAGAAAACGTCTGACTAATTTTTAAGGGAAATGAGGGTTTAGGGTAGGTTGATTTAAGCGTGCTATTAGGTTGGCACTTCCCACCGTTTCCCTGTCGAAACAGATGTAGCCACCTCTTCTACTCCAACAGCTTCTTCTCTCGCACTTCCGGACAGTGGAACTACCTTCCTCTTACTTGCATCCCTGATAGCTATGGTATTCAAATATTCAAATGTAATGTCAATCGACATCTTCTGATGCCTTGATCCGAATCCACGTCCTTCATTTTATCGTTTCCGCAAACACCCCTCCATTTACACTTGCTCTCACCCTCTGTAACCCTTTGCATTCTCGTGGCACTCTCGCCTTGCTTGGGATGAAATGCTTAGAAAAAGGTTTTCAGGATGGTTTGAGTGACCACAAAGAACTGCATAACATAAAAATATATAAGATGAAACATTATTTTCGTGTTGCAAACCTTCAACATTTGTTATCGTAGACGACGAACCACGACCGATGTCAATGCAAGCTGATAAAAATGTTACTCTGGGGAATGTGGGAATGATCAAAAAATTATTAAAGATAATTTATGATAATGATGGTTATTCAATTTACGCCATTTCGGAATACGGGGAATCTAGAACCAAAGACGATCTATCCTAAAAGAAACGTGCCACTAAATACCTCCGACAACCATTGCTAACCTCGTCAGGGATCGGTCAGTAACAACAATGTGGACTTCTTATTTTTCTTTTCCTGTTCAAACGTGAGTTGTTTCGTGATCGAGAGGATCCTACGTGGGACTCCATCGAGGGAAGGCTTTTTGATGATACGCACCCGATCGGTCTCGGGGCTTCGTGATAAGGGTTACGACATGGACTGAATTAAGCGGTGTATGGACGGTGAAACATCGCACGGATTAATTCACAAAGTGGGGGACGTGACCCTGACTTTGTTGTTGGCCTTCTATGTTGGTGACTTTGTACCTAAGACGTGGATAGGCAACCATTGATCACCTTTAAAGAAACCGTCATTTAGACAGGCACGCACATACTTACCCACGTCTAGCCCTCAACAGAGAAATGGTCGTACTCAAAAACCACCCAAACATTAACAACACAACCTCCATACGCACACACTAAGAAAAACATTACAAAATAACAAACACAAATATTACGCATAGATGCAAAAACGTTACGTAGACAGACACGAACACATTGTCTTTATACATAGAGACACGAACATTTCGCATAGGTACAGAATCATTACAGGTATACGCAATCATATATACCCACAGACACCTTTGCTTAAATGTATATTAACCAATGAATAAATACTACATTAGTAGTCAATCTTATATATATATATTTATATGTTGAGAGAGAGAAAGGGAAGGGAGAAAGAGACAGACATATACACACGTGTATATATATATATATATATATATATATATATATATATAAATGCTGTGCTATATAATTCGTCGACTGAGAAGCAAGCAGTTCTTTTCTTGGACCTTGGGATAAGATATTATGTTCTTGTGGTTTCTTGTAGATTTTGATACTTTGTCTCTTCGATTCCAGTCTTTGTTTTACCATAATTACTAATAGATATAGATATATATAGATACATATCAAAATCATCGGTAAAATTAATAATAATAATAATAATAATAATAACTACAACAAAATTTGAAAAAACCGCGTGGTATTTTTTTTAGACAATTTTTTCTTAAAAAGATAAAGAAAAACCAAACACTCTCTCAAGCAAAGAAGATTGGCTTTTAAAAATAAAATCTTTTTATTAACAAAAGAAAAAAGAAACAAAGTTAATGAGAAAAACAAAAAGGTTGAACAGTTTTAATTAATACCTCTAAAAGTGGCTATTTATTCACATTAAGCTGATTTTCATTATTCTATTATTCTTCACCGTTTCTCTCCCTCCTGTCTCTCTGACTAGCTGATAAACGTAATTCGACCATGAAATTTAAAAATAAGAAAATCTCTTCATTCCAGGATTTAGACATTCTCGCAGGTTGTTAATAACGTGGTGATTTCAATCCTCAACGAATTTCACAGCATTCTTAATCTTGTGCCAGATTAAGCTAAGATTAGTGAATAAACCAAAGTCATAATCTGAACATCTTGTAAAGGTAAGTACTTTTATTACGTTTCTAATTATGTGTGTGCAAGTGTGTGGATGTGTGTGTAAGATGATCTTTCAGAACGTAAACGATCATGATTTATTTTCTTTCGCCAGCTGATGTAATTAAAAATACACAAATATATTATATATATATATATATATATATATATATATATATATATATATATATGTATGTATATATATATATATATATATATATATATATATATATATATATATATATATATCAGTTTGCCTGCTGTTGCAAATTTACTTCAATAGTTACTAAATCATCTGGGTTTTTCTCTCTATCTATCTATCTAACTTCTCTCTTCACAATCTCTTCCTTCTCCCTTTTCTCTCTTCTATGTACTCCCTTCTCTTCTCTCTACTTCCTTCTCACTCGTCTTTATCTTCTCTCTCTTCCCTCTCTCTCTCTCACACTATCTTCCCTCTTCACAATCTCTTCCTTCTCTTTTCTCTCTACTCCTTTCTCTTCTCTTCTGTTTTTCTCAGACTTTTTTATCTTCTCTTTCTCTTTTCTCTCTCCCTCTATCAATCTATCTTCTCTCTTCAAAATCCCTTTCATCACCTTTCTCCCTCTTCCCTCTACTCCCTTCTCTTCACTCTATCACTTCTCACTGTCTTCTCTTTTTCTCTTTTCTCCCTCTCTCTCTCTCTCCACAATCTCTTCCTTCTCTTTTCCCTCTCTTCTATCACTCCTTTCTCTTCTTTCTTTCTTCTTACACTCACTTCTGTTCTCTCTCTCTTCTCACTCTCTCTTTATGTCTGTGTATGTGTGTGTGCAAGTGTGTGTAAGATGATCTTTCAGAACATAAGCGATCATGATTTATTTTCTTTCGCCAGCTGAAGTAATTAAAAATACACAAATATATATATATATATATATATATATTTGTGTATTTAGGCAGCAATCCTTCAATCATGCACATTTCATTGAATACGACAGACAAGGTGCTTTTATTTAGTTTTTTATGCAATTTCTCATGCGATCTAAAAATTTATATAAAAACTATCCAAATGTTGTTTAAATCCGAGCGGTTTCGGCTATACATTTAGCCATTTTCTTGGATTAATTATTTTAACTGTTAAATAAGAAATTAAAGTTAAATAAGTTTGTTGTTTGATGTTGTTTTTAAATGATTTCATTTTTCAAAACACGGTCCATGTGTCCATGTACATTGTTAATATTATTAAGCGTTGTTTTTTTTGTTTTTATTAATATGGCTTCCACTATTTTTAACCCTTTATTTGCATGTAGATGGTGCAATCATATTAATTTTGTCAACAAGTATGTTACGAATAGTGTCGGGTAGGACTCTATGTATATTTAAATGAGATCTAATTGAGCTATGGCCAGAAAGGCGTAGAGTTAATCTGCGTGTCAAAAATGTTATAGTATGGCCTATAGAATTATTTACGAATTTTGATTGATTAGGAATACAATTCCTTAATGGACATTTAAATTCTTAAAGACGTGAATAATTATTTTTAACTATAAGGTTAGAGGTTTTAAATTTTTTGTAATAAATAATTAATCAAATTTTTTTGCTATTGTCAACTGGTATTATGCATTTTTTATAATGTTCTTAATTCTACTTTCGTCTTGTTTATCATATTCGTTCATTTGATTTTTATAAAAAATATTAATCTTATTGTTTATTTTTCTATTCTCGTCGTTGCTATTAGCTACCTTATAGAGAAAACGCCTAATGTGGAAATATATCATATATATATATATATATATATATATATATATATATATATATATATATATATATATATATTGCTTCAAGGTTTGCAATATTTATAGCTAACTTTGCTCAATAACAATGACAGTGTATGTATAAATATAAAAGTGGAACTTCATGAGCCGAAATAGAATTACAACTGCGCACGTATGTATGTCCGAACGCACGGAACTCAAATGCGTACACTTGTATGTATGTGTCTATGCATATGAGAATACCACCCCAAACAAAGACAGAGCTATATCTCCCCTCCCCCTACAAAACATAGTAAAACAAGCATAAATTGATCCAATTTTAAAAAAATAGCAAAAGCGTTAAACCCAGGTTCACAAACTCATATCCATACAACTTTATATATATATATATATATATATATATATATATTATTATTATTATTATTATTATTATTATTATAAGAGATTATAATAAAATATTTTGAAATCGCTACACAAAAGCTTTCACGTTTCAATACTATGATTGTACTTCTTCAGGCGATGGTAAGTAACCATTTAATCACCAGTTACTTAATATCACCTGAAGAAATACAATCATACTAATGAAAGCATTTGCGTAGCGATTTTAAAATATATTCCTCTATTTTGTATTGAGCTGTTTTTTAAAAATAAATGGTACGAACAGTGCATTTTCACTCCATCTATTCTTTCTCTTTTATATATATATATATATATATATATATATATATATATATATATATATATATGTCATCAACAGAGAAACTATTTCGCTGTTTCACAGCTCCTCAGTGTGGCTAGACATCCGATTGCCTCATTTGGTATCAGTCGGAGATTCTACCCTAATACATTGGCATACGGCAGGAATGAATGTGAATTTCGACGTATTTATTTTTTGACAAACCCGCCAGTGACCGGAGAACTCGATTCGTCTTAACGAGGAGTCTTAATATTTTGTCATCCTAGATGTATAACTTAACCGCTTTAATTCAGCTTCATGTCGTTTTTATAATTAATTTTAATAAAAATCTTTATATCTATCGTCTTTAAATATCCCTCACAGATCAATATCCCAAACTGTTAAAGCAGCTTGTGTGGACATTAGATCTGTTCTCTGATAACATGGAAGGTTTCGAAATTAGTGCAATTTTAATGCATTTTCTCTTTAGTAATTTTTTTCTTTTTCATTTAAGTAAAACTATTTTTTTAGTCGAAATTATGGTCAGCGCTATTACGATAAGCATATTGTTTTGCAAAAGGTCCTTATTAAATCCTTTATATAAAAACTTAGATATTGAATTTCTTGCGCCATTTTTTTTTTTTTTGTCATTATCATTAATGTTTGACTCGTAATTACTTCTATCTCCAGTTTTATTAGATACATCATTGTTAAAATTATTATGAAGAATTGTCAACCATTACTATTTTGATTCGTATTTAATTTCATCTGCATTTTTATAACATGAAATATTGCCAACTACAGAGTGCGATGGATAAATTGTCTAAATTACGCAAAAAAAAAGAAAATAAAATAATACTGACATCTCATTTTGACGGATACATTTACAAAAATTACATAAAAATATCTTAAAATACCAAAGAGTAAGAGTATTCAATAAAATTGCCATTGGCATCAACCACGGCCTCCAGACGACTCCGGAATTTTCTGCAACTTTTCTAGACAGTTTCCTTGTTTCGGTTGGTGAATACTGCCATAATCCTTGCCTTCAGTTCATCTTTGGTGTTACAAGGAATTTTGTTGATCTCTCACTCAACTGTGCACAACACATAATAATCAAGGGGTTTGCAGTCTGGGGAGTTAGGTTGCCCGATATAAGAGGTGATGTGGTTGCAGAAATTGTCTGGCAGCTATTACTGTGTTCTCCTGCTTGTGTGGCATGGTGCAGAGCCCTGTTGCCAACAGCCATACTCTTGACCCAGAGCAGCACTATCTTCTTAATGTAGCCGTCTGTGTTCTCTCTGAGGCCCTATGGGAAGATAAATGGAGGCACAACGTCACTATCATTAATGATCACTCCAAACTCCTTCGTAATCACCATTAAAGTTATCCAACTCTTTCTGAATCCTCTGCACTGTTTTCAGATTGACACCCAAATACTGTCAAATGTTCGTATTGGAGTACAGCATGCCTTTTCCAAATTTCTGGCGGGGTGAATTGCATCATGGTGCTCCGTTTCTCACAGACACTACCCAACTGACCCTACTATACTGTGCAGTCGAGAAAATGAAAAAACAAACGACGCGCACGCGCAAAATTAAAAAAATATAAAATGGTGACAATTTACACATTGCACCATGTGTTGTTATAAATTTTTAACTAGGATTGACTTTCATCTTCATTTTTAAATAGATGAAGCATTGTCAACCATTATTAATTTTTAATTTTCAACGTTGTTTTATTAGACGAAGCATTGTCCACCATTACTGATTTTTCTAACATTTACTTTCACTTCCTTTCTGGATTTTCTGCTGAATCTTAATTCTTAAGTTAATGATTTAATAAGCTCATGGCGAGATCTATGACAATTAAATATCCGTAATATTTCCCTTATCGCATCGTTAAATATTTGAGCTTAAGAACTTTAACAAAATAATGTAATAACAATCAAATAAATATGAATGCTGGTCGTTATTTTAAGAAGTAAGTTAAAAATGAAAAGATTTGAAATTGAAATGTTTTTCCATTTCACTGAAACAGACGTTAAAAAAATCTATATTCACTTCTTTCTACCTTTCTTTTTTTATTTCGTTCATTTTCTCACTGAAACCAAGTAGTGTCTTTTCCCTTCTTTCTACACAGTCAAAACGGACTAGTCAATTATTTATTAGGTACTGGCGGGGCATAACGGTCGTGTAAACTAACAAAATGGGAGACAATAAAAATTACAATAGGATCCCTTTTTATGAGATAAAGCATTGTCGACTATTATTATTCATTTTTAACTAGTATTTGCTTTTATTCTCATTTTTCATTATATGAAGCTCTGTCGACCCTTATTAATTTTAATAATATTTACTTTCATCTTTACATGGTTTTATGGACGTTTTACTGAGGCCACCAAGTCTCACCGAAAGCGTATCCTTTATTTCCAACTCTATGCCGAGATTGACTGTCGGTGTAATCATGCGATAAAAAACACTAAAAACGCAATATATCAGGTCATCCCATAAGTTCTGTCCGAATTTTGAATAAAGAAAACAAGTGACCAAATGTTACATTAAATTACAGATTCAAACAACAATGTATTTTCCCTGATTATCTATGACTTCCTTCCATCTATTAACAAGCTTACTAATTCCATTACTATAAAATTCTTTTGGCTTTGATTCGAAGAACTCACAAATGTCAGTTTTAACCTCTTCCTGTGTTACAAAAGCTGTTTCTTCCAAATGATTCTGTAAGCTACGAAACAAATGGTAGACTGAAGGAGCAAGATCGGGAGAATAAGGTGGATGAGGAATTATCTCCCAACCAAGTTCTTCGATCTTTTGTGACGTGATTCTTGCTGTGTGAGGTTGCGCATTGTCTTGATGAAAAATCACCTCTTTTCGATTCACAAGAGCAGGTCTTTTTTTCCTCAAAGCTTGGTTCAAACGCTCTAATTGCTGACAGTATATTTGAGCATTAATTGTTGCATTAGGTGGTAAAAATTTAATGTGGATTATTCCTTGGCGATTCCACCAGATTGAAAGAAGAACCTTTTGCCTCTGAAGTTCTCTTCTCGGCTGTGGCTGGGGTCCTTCCCCTTTACCAAGCCACTGTCTACAACGCTTAACATTTCGATAAAAGACCCATTTTTCGTCGCCAGTCACAAGTCTATCCAAAAAAGGTGAAACAAGTTGGCGAGAATGGAGAGAAGAGCAGATGTCAACTCGGGATTTGAAGTTGTTTTTAGACAATTCATGAGGCACACATTTTCCAAGTTTAGGAACTTTTCCAAGTTGTTGAAGATGACGATGAACAGTTGTATGGTTTGAACTGAGAACTACTGTCAATTCCTCGACTGATAAAGCAAGATTTTCTTCAAGGGCTGCTTCAAGAAGCTTTTCATCAAACTCAACTGGACGTCCAGTTCGATCTTCATCTTCAAGAGTGAAATCTCCACCTCTGAATTTTGCAAACCATCTTCTGCAAGTTCTTTCATTCACACATTCCTCTCCATAAACTGAGTGAATGTTTCTAGCCGCTTCGGCTGCTGAGTTTCCTTTCTTGAACTCATAAAGCATTATGTGCCTCAAATGATTCTTGGGTACTTCCATGTTAGCAGAGTTTTAATCAAAGAAAATTTAATTTTATTGTTCTCTGAAATAAGATTTGATCAGTTTAAATGCACCTAAACATATAAATAATGTTTAGCTCCATTAGACATTATAAAATACTCTTTAAATTTTGTTCAGTTTAACAAAAAGTTAAAATTCGGACAGAACTTATGGGATGACCTGATATATGTAAACACCAATCAAAAATTAATAATGATGGCTATTCCTATATTTTTCACATCGTCGAATGAAATATTTTCGTCGATAAAATATATTTGCCTCTCGTAATCTGCATTTAGTTTCAAATTGCTTTCAACAGAATTCGTCTTTGTTAATTTTTTATTCTTATTTTTATTGTAATTAATTTTTTTTTTTTTTTTTTTGGTGCCATTTTAGTGAAATCTCTGCATGACAACAAAGCTAAAGCTACGAGTCAGAAAAGAACAATAATAAGACAAAATACTTCATCTGAATTGGTTAAACATCTTCCTTAAAACAGCATTCTCCCCCTCGCTCATGTGTACGTGTGTATGTGTGTGTGTGTTTGTGAGGGCGCGCATGTGTGATCAAATAGAAATTCGTCACAATATTTTGGTATTAAATTAGAATATATTTTTTTTTTCTCTGCAGCTCTTTGAACGAAGCGGAAAGAAATCTGTAGGAATTCACTCCTGTCATCTTTGAAGAAATATGAATTCCATCGACTGATATTCGGGGATGTTTGGAAATCCGGACACGCACATCAGCCCTCGTCCAAAACTTCACTGATTCCTTACGCTGATCAAATTTATGAAATCGGCAAAGAAACCCAAATAATCATCAAACGTCTCATGACTCCGTTTCGTATTCCTCATAATATAATCATTCAGGTTTTCAAAAAAATTTTTTAGAGAGAATTAATAAGTAACTAAATATAAGAAAAGTTAAATCAGTTTTAAAATAAATACTTTTACACTCAGATTCATCAAACTTTCAAGAAAAAAAATAGGAATTTAAAAAATCCTGCTTATTACTGAATTAAATAACTTTCTATGATTTCAGAATGCTTTTACGTACGGCTAAGCTTATCAGATATTTAATAGTGTTAAGTGTCTGCACTTGCTTATCTGAAAGTCAAAGAAATGCCTATTGTAACCGTTCAAACTGCCGACTTCCTTACTGTTATTGTAAAGGCTCTGATATTCCTAACAATTTACACAGAGATTCCACACCTCAACTGGTAATGATCACATTCGATGACGCCGTCACCCGTGATTCGTATAACCTCTACCGACAGTTAATATCAGGAATAGTCAATCCGAACGGGTGTCCTATCAGCGGTACGTTTTTTGTGTCACACGAATTTACCGATTACTGGACTATTCAACAACTACACGCTCAAGGTCACGAAATAGCCAGCCACTCCATCACTCACCGTTACCCTCCAACTTGGTGGAAAACCGCCAACTACACCGACTGGTATTCTGAAATCCAAGGTCAACGCGAAATGCTCTCAACTTGGGCGAACGTAGACAAGTCTGAAATTCGGGGTATGCGGGCCCCGTTTCTTCAGGCCGGGGGTAACTGGCAATTTCAAGTTATAGCTGACATGAAAAAAGATGGCTTCCAATACGATTCGTCTCTCGTCTCTTATATTCATAAATTCGACCCGTACCCTGATCCAATATGGCCGTATACACTAGATTATCCGACAACGGATGACTGTGGAATTGATCCTTGCCCTGATTGGACGTTCCGCGGTATCTGGGAGGTGCCGTTAATTGAATATGAGGACCGAGATGGAACCCTTTGTTCAATGTTAGACGACTGTGACGCCAGCCTAACTGAAGATGATCTCTACCAAATGATACTAAAGAACTTTGAAAATCACTATAATACAAACAGAGCACCATTTGGCTTGTTCATGCACGCACCTTGGTTGAAAAAGCCGTCAAATTTCAAGGCTGTGAGAAGGTTCCTCCAGGACGTCTCTTCACGGGGAAATGTCTGGTTTGTTTCGGCATCACAAGTCCTGGGATGGATGAAACAGCCGACAGAGATCCAAAAACTGGACACTTTCGAGCCGTTCAACTGTTGGACCAGACCGAATTTCTGGGCTTGCTCAGATGACCGATCGGTGACCTGTGTTTATGACCTGAAAGGTAATCTTATTTGGCCTCACAGTATTTCCAAGAGGCATGCAGTCGGCTCAGCTTCTGTAAATTCCAATATAAACTGGAAACGACATTACAGACGTCCTCGGCAGCCAACATTTTCTCGCCGACCAAGATATCAAGAATCTTCACCCCACCAGCCGCCGACGCCAAATAATATTTTACCGGTGAGACCATCGCCGCATCCTGAAATAATTGAGAAGCCGGTTATTTTAAGTTCACCAAAAAACACTTACACAGAAAATAAGAGTAATATTTACCGGAATAATAATAATAATAACGGTGGCTCAGTTTGGTTTCGAGAAAGGTTTAACTGGAGAAATTTTCGAAAACCAAATTTCAGAGTTCAGTATCCCTCAAGAAGACAAAATGGATTTCCACCTCTACACACACCACGCCGCTCGGAAGAGTCCGGTTCTGTTGAGACTGAGACAAGCGGCGGTCGAATTTCACATGATGCGATTCGATCAGGGATTGATCAAGGCGGATTCAATATTGATCGCTGGAAGAGGCAGTCAGGGACCTATCACACTTTACACATATGTTCCGAGTTTTGCCCTTATCGCTATCCATGGCTTAACAATGTTGACGGACTCTGAATGAACTGGACTGCAGATGATATACAGATGCTGATAGGCACGCGAATGTATTTGTTGAAAGAGAACACAACGCTCGGCATGAATACCTATATCACTGTGCATCTACTTTCATAGACTTTTCATGGAAACGGGTATGCATCAACACCTTAAGAGAGTGAAAACCCACTCAACTTGATGTATACACGAAGAACATATGCCATTTTAACTACTGTCTTCACGTACATTTAAAAAGAAAACACCTACACGCACGCACACATACAAATACACGCTTATGAACAAACATTTTTACATGGATTTCTTTAAATTCGTCTGCACATTCCACAAACGTAAGTGTCTTCCGGTAATCAAAGGTAGTATATATTAAGAGATGCCTATTATAATAAAATTCAAGAAAAAAATCTAAAGATGAGTCGGCTTGATTGACTTTTAACAGGCAAAGGAAAGCAGTAGGATTCAAGATGGCGGCGATGACCAAACAACTGATATATAGTCAGCGTTAAACGATTTATTTAAATTTCCTAAGCAACATTAAAAAAATATAATCCCATGGTTGACGAGAAAAGGACAAAAGCCGTGATATTTTAAAACGTTAAAATGTTTATCACTTAATTTTAATCGTCGAACTTCTCTTTGATTTCTCCCTCCACCATTTTATTTAGATTTTACATTTTCTAACCCTAACCCTAGAATATCAGCACTTTAGTATCTTTAGACCAAAAGCATTTTTCCGTCCGTCCGTGACATTTGCTTTACTTCTTCGCTGGGGGTTGCTGGGGGTTGAGAATCATGGACAATTGTTACGGTTTTGAATTCAGATTTGTCCTTCTCCTAGACTGGTCCAGTCTCCCTTACTATTTAACCCAAAGCTGGAGAAAGAATAGATGGATCCATACCTTTCCTAAAGCGTGTAAGTGAATATAATGAAATCGACTGCAGTTCGAACTCGGCTCTCTGATTTCTTATTCTAAGTCTCTACACTTGCCGCTCGTCCATTTTCTACGAAATAGCTTTCGTAAAATTCTTTCCTGATTCCCTGGTTTGAGAGGGACCTTTTTAACGATAACCAAGTAGATTTAGGTTTTTTGCGTGAAGTTTTTGCAACTAACGCTAACTCCAACTCCGCTATAGGAAAATTATTTTAATTTTTTCGTTTAAAAAGATGTTATTTAGAAAGCAGACTATACGTCGTCGCCATTTTGAATCCTGCTACAACATGAATCGTATCCGGTAAATGGTATTCAAACCGAGAAGATATTAGCAATCATAGACACTTATATTATTGTATACAAGGGAGAACTGAAAAGTTACCAGCCTGACCAAAAAAAGGAATTTTAATAAATTGTAATATTTGGGGAATTAAGTAAAGCCGAAAATTTTTAGCATTCCTCATATTGGGTAAACGGAAAAGTTTGTGAGCTTATTTTGTTCTGCTTATCTGCTGAGGTCATTGAGCAAACACTTTATTTCCATTCATTTGTTTTCCGATGCAATGTTTTTGCCGACAAACATTATTGCTTAATTTTTAAATGGATCTTCTTCATCCGACATGATTGCATATTGATATAAACGCCATTTTCTCTGGGTACACGTGCTTGAGTTGACGCGAAATTAATGCTGACACATGGTCATTCACTACAAAATTTTGCAAAACACAGACATCAAACAATTATGTAATTATACGCTTTATATCGCTACGTGTCCTGAACGTTAATGCAAGCGTCTGACATATTTGAAACAGATTAGATTCAAAACAAGTCCTCAGTTGGTCATTGTCAATGCCAAGGGACCGTTCTTTACGAAACGTGTCCCTAAATGACTAATTTTTTTTATTCAAAAACCAATTAACTTTTCCAAGCGCTGTACATATATTATGGCCTGCTCTTATTCGGAATTTAGACAAGCTCATGCAACTACGTGAATTTTTACTCGATACTATTGTAGGTATACTCTTCTAAAAGTTATCTGATAATAAATGATATAAGTATATTTTAAGTTGCGAAAAATACTATTGTCATTTAAAATGTTTATTCTTTCTTAAGCCGATAAAAAAAACATCGACAATATTAATTCATAATTCAATATAGCAATTATTGACTTGCTATTTACACACGCGCGTACACACAAGCACACGCGCACCCACACACACCCACTACAGACGCACTCACATAGGTGTTCAATTAAGCGTGCGTTGAATTCTGTCTGTAGAGAAAGTAGTTGAAAATAAAAGATATTTCAGTCTTCATAATTATCAAAGAAATTAAATCTCAATCTTTATATATATATATATATATATATATATATATATACCTCAATTATTTTATATGGGTTAATGAAATCCAGCGTGATATTTAGACGAGGTCAAAAAAAAAAAAAAAAAAAAAAAAACAGACTGTACACACTATTATTTTAATTTATCCATGAATATTAATTATCGTCAATCAATTTTTTTTTAAATTTCAGAATCCCAAATGAACAGCAAATGTTGTTGTCAAAACCCAAGGAAAAAATCTTCCAATCTCACTTTATATTGATAATTATAAGCAAAAATAAAAATTATATTTGAAACATCAATGACTGTAATGTGTGAATTTTTCTCGTTTTTCGAATTGTTTATTCTTTTTTAAAGTCGATAAAAAAGAAAACATCAAAAAATGAACGAACTTTGGAACTTTCCTGGTATATTACTTATGGACTTTATAAAAACACATTTAAGCGGATTATACAGGATGTCCATAAAGTTCGTGTGCACTTTAAAACATTTATAACTTTATTTGGATTTCCGATAGAAATAATTTGTAAAAAGGATTAGAAATAATTAAATCTATATTTTTTAAGGTTTTATTGAAATTTTATTTAAGTCTCCATATGTCATCCATCATTAGCAATACAACAGGTAATAAGATTTTGCAGTTCGCGGAAAACATTTGCCAACTGATTTACAGTAATGCCTGAAATCACATTAGTTATTTTAGCTATACTTAAAACTAGGTACATTAAACTTTATAACATTTTTTACAGATTATTTCTATCGCAAATACAAATAAATTTATAAATTTTTAAATTGCACACGAACTCTATGGACGTAATCGGCATAATACATTGTTCGGAAAGTAATCTTTCTTGGAGTCTGAGTAAAAATCCGTTCAAATCTATTTGTCATTGTCCCTACTTATAATTTCGAGGCAATGACAAAAACCGACTCTTAAATAAATTCTTTTTTTTTTTTCATCTGAAATTATAGACGAAATAACAATGTCAGTATCTAAAACCAACGTTCCATCTCATACGGTTTTAATCGTTTGGATATTTATATAAGACTACATCCACTAATAATCTGATATATAGATTTATATGTACTCCCAGATATACGAGGAGATAGATAGATAGATAGATAGATAGATAGATAGATAGATAGATAGATAGATAGATAGATAGATAGATCCATTGACTCGCTTTTTATACACATGCGTAGACACGGGCGCACACACAAACACGCAGAGACACAAACACACGCACAAACTACGGACGCACATACATAGGTGTTCCATTAAACGTGTGTTGAATTCTGTCTGTAGAGAAAATAGTTGAAAATAAAAATAGACATTAAAGTCGTCGGAATTATCAAAGAAATTAAATCTCAATATTTATCTTAAAAAAAATAATATACATATATATTTCTTTTTTACCTCAACTATTTTATATGGGTTAATGAAATCCAGCGTGTTATTTAGATGAAGTCAAACCTGGCTCTACACATTATTATTTCAATATAAGTATTAATTATTATCAATGAAATTTTTTTAACATTTCAGAATACCAAATGAACAACAAATGTTGTCAAAAACCGAGAAATCTTCCAAACTCATTTTATATTGATAATTATAAGCAAAAATAAAAAATATATTTTTTTAAAAATCAATGACTAACGTGTAAATTTTTCTCGTTGGCAAAATTATCTTTTGCTTTTTGAGACAATGAATGAACAGAATTAAAATATGACATTAATGTTTCTCAGTTGCTGTCATTTAATTCTTCAGGCAAATTTACAAAGTATAGATCAGTAGTACTCAATCTTTTTCTTGCGTGGGCTACTGCGGCTCCCAGGCTCTATATTTAACACCCCTCTCATACCTCCGTAAATGGCTTCTTTCTTGTTATTAGATACGAGACTGCAAATTCAAATCAACAACTAACTTAATACTGTAAATGTACAAATTCATTTCGGCTTTTCTTCGATAAGAGATCGCCAGACAAGCATCCATAGTTATATCGCTACCGCTACAAATCTAGAGGATTGGACCCTGCAGTCGCCGGCCGTCTGAACTGGCTGGTGTGGGAAACGTCCTGCCCAGATGAC